TTAATATTTAATCATGATTGATTTTTTCCATTGATTTATTAACTATACAGTAATTCTTTCAATCTAGCTAAATTATTTCTCTATTACAGTATTTATATGTAAGTCGTGATGAATACGGCTCAGAATATGTATGTTTCATTGAATCGTGTTTAACATATCCGCGACTTTTCACCAAAACAACGCCAGGCTATGAACACACATGGTTTTAAAACCGCAATCGGAACTTTTAGCGCATTTGCGCGCATCCAAAAAGCTACGTGTTTGTCTATAAATAGCGCAATTGCGCATAAGCTTCGAAATCGATCTATTGTTTTCGAAATAAAGCCGGATGAAGTCAATTAGCAAGCTTTATACAACATGAACATGAACGTAAACAATGACACGGCGTGTCTAGATGGTATTGTACTTATCACTAAAATCTTTCAATCTTTATTTTGACTAAGAAGAATTTTCGAGATTGAAACTCGTGTCGGATTCCGAGGTTCTACTCAAGGAGCTATCGATTCAACGATACGAGTTCGAATTCACAGTAGTATATCTAAAGATGGTTCTGGACAGTACGACACCAGTGAAAAAGATTACGAAACGGATTACTTACTATTATTATAGCAAGATAGAACTGCAATGGGCGCAGTATTCAAAGCAAGCGCCTTTCATATCTGAGTTCGTGGGCTCGATTCTCGCTACGGACTCATGTGAAAAAAGTCAGTCAACGTTCTGTCGAAAGTCGTGGATTTTCTGCGGGTGCTCCGGATTCCTCCCACAGGGAAAGTTGACAGGATGGGTTAGGATAAACACACTTGAGAAAGTAATATCACAATTGTTGTGAAGATAAAATAATCTAGGCTAATTATGTCATCAGCTAAGCATATAACACTTGATGTGAAGCGCATTTGATCACATCCGCATGTTAATTGCGCTTATATTTAATGCTAATCGTAATTATCATAATTTATGTTAGGTATGCTATAAAGTCGAACTCTGAGAGTGAATAAAATATACAGAACTCTGAGAGTGAAGAATATAAACAGAAGTCTAAACATGAAGATTTCAACATAAATTACGTAACTAGAGGCTGCCGCCAACCTGCAGTTCGGAAAAGGATGCTAATTCTTTTCGTTATATGTTGTAGTCTTTGGTATAGAATTAAAAAGTTTTTAAAATTTGCTTTCTCTAATAAATATGAACACTCATGCCCAGCCAAGGGACCCAATATACTCGATAACATACGAGAAAGTTTAGCGAAAATATCGCCTATTAAAAGACCATTGATTTGGGTAAATAAAATAATAAAAAAATACTTAGGCGTAGAAGTGCAAAGATAAAGTATAATTCGATTCTAAACAATTATACTGAACTAATTTTTAAACATTTGGGGGGAAATTTTTAGTAACGATGTAAAATGTTGCGTGCGTGACTTTGCGGGCGTGATGACCAACACCCAGTGCCCAGCAGGTGCGCGCACGTAGTGTCGTGCTGGACATTATCTCCTCAATGAGTAGGCGCGGTTCAACACATTTTAAGTACGAACCCAAACAAAAGCTAAACACGAATTGCACGATTGCACAGTAAAACCGCTAGAGTCTGTCACCGGTTAGCTCAGCTTTATACGTTTGTCGCAAAAATGTAAACTGCTACGCCATAGTGTGGCTTTTAGTTGACATTGTTGTTGTTAAGCATTATATGCGCCTGCGATCTTGTTCGCGCCCAGGCGACATATACTGCATGTTATATTCATGTAGCTTGTCTTGGCCTCGTTGTTGTTTTCATCGTATCTCATACTATATTAAAGGCTACCTTTAAATTTGTTGTTATCGCTTTACTGTCGAGTCTCCTCTTAAATATTGGCGCTAAGCTAATATTTTACTTCACTCTAAACGGTGGCAAATACCACGTATCATGTGAGAAAGACACCTAATTTTATGCAATACCGGGTGTCTGGAAAAATTTGATTTCATGTAACGTAAAAGCTATAAAAGCTATCGCAATGAAATAAAGCTCATTGTATTCAGAAAGGACTAACTTAGATTTTGATATATAACACTTGCATACAATATTCAGCGAGATACAACCAAAACAAAAATATTTAGTATTTAAGTGCTATATATCAAAATCTAAGTTAGTCCTTTCTGAATGCAATGATCTTAATTTCATTGCGATAGCTTTTATAACTTTTACGTTGCATGAAATCAAAAAGTGTCCAGATTTTTTGGGGGGACAACTGGTAGATAAAGCATGAGCGGCGGTGTTGTATCAGATAATACAAACTGGAGCCGAAGGCAAGATCGATGTTGTATGTCTGAGCGTGGTCTGAGACAACACGAACGCGAATGCTTTATATAGTTTGTGAAACGTCTCATGAGAACATTGGTAATCTTCAACAACTTAAAATAAATTAATGATATTTGGTGGGAGAATGGACCTTTCCCCTTTTAAGTGAAATTTTGAACTCAACAAGTCTGGACAAAAATTTCATCACAGCTTGAAAGAGCATCACAAAATTAGTAATATTCCGAAGTTTTGTTGCGAAATGTTGTAAAATGCGGATAATATAGCCTTGCGAAGTTTTTTGTATTACGCACGGGAAATTGATAATCAGATGATCAAACTGATTATCAATTTCCCGTTTGTAATGCAAAATGACTGAAAAACGGCAAACTTCGCAAGGCTATATTATCCGCATTTTACAACATTTCGCAACGAAACTTCGGAATATTACTAATTTTGTGATGCTCTTTCAAACTGTGATGAAATTTTTGTCCAGACTTGTCTAGATCAAAATTTCACTTAAAAGGGGAAAGGTCTATTGTAATGATTTTGTATCAGATATCCCTCACGGTCATGATTTATTTTGTGGTTTCTTCACAATGGCTACTATACAGGGTGTCCCAAAAAAAAGTACCCTCTAATCTCTATAGAAATTATCCTATTGTTATAATTTGAATGTCTGAGCACTATGCTGAATACACGGAGTGCGTAAACACAATTGAATTGAATTTTTAATTACACTGAGTCGCATAAAATCCTGTGCTTAACAACAATAGGATAAATTTCTATAGAGGGTACTTTTTGGGGGACACACTGTATATACATAGCTGAGCTCATAACTGCCTCGCGTGGACAAAATAATCAAACACGATATACTATTTTTCCTCCCGTTCTCCGAAAGCAGAAACCGCGTGCGCACCAGAGCTTTTAGCCAGGTGATCCTGATACGCGGAAAAGTACTGGCACTAGTTGTCAAATAGAAATCCATTTTATGATTAAAACAACTGAATATCTCCTGTAATATACTTTATTTCGATTCCAAATTTTTGTCAGAGCTATAGTTCTCATAACCAAACATAATTACAAAATTTCAACTAGTTTCATAAAGAATAACGAAAGATATAATTGACTGAATACATCAAAATGGATTTCTATTCGGACAACCCTTTCTGAGCGCTGATTGGCTAAAATACGAACACGAGATCACCTGGAGGTAGTTGTATCCCTAACAACGAAAGCTTGTTATAAAATAACATGTATATAACGCGTGCTCTGATTGGTCGAGTTTTTTAAAGTGACATTTTAACACGGAAAGTTGTTATTTTATAAAAACAATGGACCACTTTGGCGGTTTTGTGTTAATTGGAAACACGTGCTCGAGAAATCGGAAACTCGGACGGAGAAACATGGCGGAGCGTAATACAAATGCTATTCAAAATACACAACTGTTTCGGCCATTTAATAGATAAATTTGCTCGCTCTCAAAATGGAAAATATGTCACGAGAAGAGAATTTCAAAGCCATGAAGCTGGCTTTGAAATTTGGCTATGATTTCCGTGTTTGGATGGCCTGATCCAAACACTTGCTCGCAAAATCACTCGACCTCGGCTCGTGATTTCGCGCGCTGGCTCTACTCTCCCAACATTCCCGCGTGTTGGATAAGGCCATCCAAACACGGAAACCATGAAGTAATTGTATATTCATTTTATTGGCCTTTACCCGACTTAGAGAAACGTGTACGAAAAAGCATCTACACCAATTTTATTGCAATTTATACACGAACGTTTCGTCCCCCGTCCCCCCAACCCTCTTTAAGAGTTTTTTTTCATAAATTATTCGCTTGCAATTACAAGTAGTATAATTTCTACCTAATAATAACTACACCGTCTACACGTTAAAGATATTTCGGTAAAATACCGTTAGTCTTGGGCGTCTGCAGGGAATTTAAGAATTTGGCATATTCTAATCCACGAACCATCAAAGTCTCTCCGCCTAGTTTAGGTCCACTCTTTTCCTGTGAAGAGAAGAGAGAGAACTTACTTAATATACTATATAGCTCTATCAGTTCTAGACTGTTCTTCCAGTTGTTCAAAGCTAGGTTAACTTAACCCTGGGTTAACCTAAAATTCAAAGCAAAATTCCTGACAGCTTGTCTATAAATTTGGAAGTATTTCGTCAGAGATCTTGTCTGGATCGATAGGAATTTACTAATTTACTTCTCTGAAGTTTTGAATAAGCAGACGTGTAAAAATACACAAACTAAAACAGCAGGTTAAATTTTAACCCAAGGTTAGCGCTAACCCACCTTTGAACAACAGGCCCATACCTTTTACTGTCCACCTTGTGGTTCACTGTCACCTTGAGCAAAACTTAGCTTACTTCATTATACTAAATATAGCTCTATCAGTTCTAAAGTGAAGGAATTAACAGGTCCTATATAGGGGAAAGGATAAATACATATGAACTAACCTTCCACATTCCGCATTTTTCCCAATTCTTTGCACCACATTTTCTAAAATTATGAACACAAAACAAACATGAAGATCTGGACACTTAAACTTCACGGCAGGCATCTCCACGGCAGGCATCTTCTTATTCTCCCTGCCAAGCCTGTGGCAATCTCGCACACAAGACACACAGACCTTATTCACTCCAATAGCCTGTGGCGCAGGTATAGGTTATAGATTTAATTAAGGCAATAAAATTTATTTCAAGTCACTTTTCACCCAAGTTCGTTGCAAACATGTCAATTACGTTTCCAAGTTCGAAAATTGGGCTTCGCAACAAAGTTCGCAAGTACATTTCAATGCTTGAACTTCTATTTTTAAACAAATGTTCATAGTTCAAGTTGAAATTAACATTTCAATGGAAATTTCTTGGTCCAGTGGTCCACCAAGAAGGTTTGTATTTGGTTATTATTATTGAGTATGCCAACATTTGTTTACAAACGAAGTTCAAACATTGAAACGTACTTGCAAACTTTGTTGCGAAGTTCGCGCCCGATTTTCAAACTCAGAAACGTAATTGCATGGCAAATTTGCAACGAACTTGGGACCCGCGTGTTGAAAAGTGACTTAAAATCGACAATAAGACAAAATTTTTGAAGAACTACAATTTCCCAGAACAAAAGGTGCCCATATGGTGATTGCCAGATAGTATACTTCAAAATAAGGTTTCCGTTTTTATAACGTAGAAAAAAACTATCCTAACGCAAAACTAAGCCCTAACCCTAATACTAACCTTAACCTAATCCTAACCTAACCTAACTGGCCTAAACTAACCCTATCTTATTTTAAAAATTGATATAAAAACGGAAACCTTATTTTGAAGTATACTAGCAATTGCCGTGCTCATATGGTGGGAACCTAAATTCGGTACCCCAGTGGCTCTGTAGTTTCATTTCCCGAAGTGTTGGGCCACTGAAGAAAAGCAAGCAATGAAATATTAGAATGTTAGGGTTTGGAATCCAAGTGAGAATATATACATTTTAAGACCTAACCAGGAACGACTGCGAAAAATGCAGCACTTAGCAGGTCTTAATGCAGGTCTTAAAATGTATATATTCTCACTTGGATTCCAAATCCTAACATTCTAATATTAATTCCACCAAGTGAAGTGCAAGAATCTAAGTCATGAAGCAATGAAATGTCTGCAGAGGAAGAGCACCATAGTTTTCAAAAGTCCTACCTGCACTCGCGCGTGGGATACCGCTGTCCATATGCGACCGTGCGTTCACTACAGTCACGACAGGAAAAGAATTTCTTCATGACTTGTAAAGATTGCAATGTGTGATTTTCTTCTTTGCACTTCACCGTCGCTTTTTCAGCGACGTATTTACACTAAATGAGGATGAAAATAAGAAATGGTTGATTCACGGTTTTCTAATACTCAGAGAAAAAACTATGGAACCAGCGAAAATAATCGGAATTTCACAAGTTCTGCCTAATTCTATTCTATTGTAATTCCATTCCATTGGGGCTTAGGTGGCGCAGTCCTCAAAGCCAGCGGCTTTCACCTCTGAGTTCGTGGGTTCGATTCTCGCTACGGACTCATGTGAAAAGATAGCCTGCGAACAGGCCCTCAAGGTGAATTGAGAGCCTGCATCGATGACTAATGAATTTGAATATCTGCGTCTCAAATCGTGACGCGAAATTCTCATTGGTCAGATGCTATAATTTATATGTTTTCCCTAAGCTCTATATATGTCAACTGAAGCACTATGCATAAAAAAACACATTAACTGATCAAATTGGTCTTGGCCGTCTTATCTCAAAGCACGAAATGTTCTGTTTTGAGAAAACAGTATTTAAAACATTTGAACTTTTGCTTGAATATGTTATATTTCGAAAAACAGTATAATAGTGATGGGCGATACCGAGTACTCAGTATTCGATACCACAAACAGCGGTATCGGTACCGATTACTGACGTGGTATCGTTCGATACTTGCACCCTTTTTTAAACTACTTATTTAATTTCACTTCTTGGTTGAATAGGACTTAATGAACCACTAAAGTAACTCTTAATATTCCAAATTCGGTGCGCCAAGTCAGGTATAGAGAATATTTATTACGTTTAGGGCTTTTGTTTTACTTATGGCTTTATTTAGGTTACATGGCAGTAATGCAAAATGTTTTTCCGCTGACCGGCAGGTATCGAAAGTAGCCGATACTAGCAATTTAAGTACTCACTTCCGGTATCGAAAATTGGAATTTTGTGTTTATTTTGGTATCGAAATAGGTATCGGTATCGACCGATACCGATCTTAAAAGTATCGGTATCGGTATCGAATTAAAAATCCTGGTATCGCCCATCACTACAGTATAAACTGTACGGTCTAAATTTAGTATGCACGGTCTAAATTTAGTTTGCACAAAAGTTGTAAACAACACCATATAAGGATAGACATTCCATATTTGGAAAAACGAACGTTACGGGCAGATATTCAAATTCATTAGTCATCGATGCAGGCTCTCAATTCAGCTTGAGAGCCTGTTCGCAGGCTAGTGAAAAGAGTCTGTCAACTCTTTCCCGAAAGTCGTGGGTTTTCTCCGAGTGCTCCGGTTTCCAAGTTGACAGGATGGGTTAGGATCATGGGCGTACCGGAAGGAAAAAATTAGGGGGGCGGAAAGAAAATTGCCCGACTTTTCGGGATTCCGCCCGAGTAGTACCAAAAATTTTTTCCGGAAAAATTTTTTTGGCGATAATTTTACACAAAATTGACAGAATTTGTCCCATTTTTTTTATTGCAAACCAAAATTGCCCGACTGCTGATCGAATATTGCCCGACTGCCCAAAAAACTGGGGGGGCTACCGCCCCCCCCGCCCGGTACGCCTATGGTTAGGATAAATATAGTTAGGAAAGTAGTATCGCGATTGTTGTAAAGATAAATTAATAGTCTGTAACATAAGTAAGGGTAATACTTGATGTAATGGGTCACTGAAAAGCCCCAGTCGGGAGTGAGCTGAATAATAATGTAATGTAATGTAATCCTATTCTATTCTATTCTATTCTACTCTATTCCATTTCATCCTATACTGTTCCATTCAATTCCATCCTATTCCATTCCATATTCCATCCCATCCTATTCTATTCCATTCATTTCATTCCATCCTGTTCTGTTCCATTGTATTCCATTCCACGCTATTCCATTTTATTCAACTCTATCGGACCATACATCACTACGCCTGAATTCTTTTCAATCTTTTTAATCCTTCATTTATTTCCTCAAAGTTTACCTGGAGACATTGGACAACCTTAACCTTCATTTCTTTGGTCGACAGCATCTTTGTTTCCATCTCTTCCTTCTTTTCCCTCTGTGTAAAATACGTTTGTTCTTGTTCCAGTTCAGCCTAAAAAATAACACTTTGTTATTCTCCTGCAGTAATAACACTAAACCAAATAACAGATGACTAGCTCTAGGAAGAAATGTTTAGAACTGATGGAGCTATCCAGTACTACCAAAATTAGTTAAGGTTTCCTCCTGTAGCAACACTGAATCAATAAGGGATGACCCTTTACTGGACCTCTAGGAAGAACGGTTTAGATCTGAAGGAGCTATCCAATATTAGCAAAATTAGTTTAGTTTTCCTCCTGTAGTAACACTGGATCAATGAGGGATGATCCTTACTGGACCTCTAGGAAGAACGGTTTAGATCCGATGGAGCTATCCAGTATTACCAAAATTAGTTTAGGTTTCCTCCTGTAGTAATACTGGATCAATAAGGAATGACCCTCACTGGACCTCTAGAAAGAACGGTTTAAAACTGATGGAGCTATCCCGTACTATCAAAATTAGTTAAGGTTTCCTCCTGTAGCAACACTGGATCAATAAGGGATTACCCTTACTGGACCTCTAGGAAGAATGGTTTAGATCTGATGGAGCTATCCAGTATTAGCAAAATTAGTTTAGGTTTCCTCCTGTAGTAACACTGGATCAATAAGGAATGACCCTCACTGGACCTCTAGGAAGAACGGTTTAAAACTGATGGAGCTATCCCGTACTATCAAAATTAGTTAAGGTTTCCTCCTGTAGCAACACTGGATCAATAACGGATTACCCTTACTGGACCTCTAGGAAGAATGGTTTAGATCTGATGGAGCTATCCAGTATTAGCAAAATTAGTTTAGGTTTCCTCCTGTAGTAACACTGGATCAATAAGGAATGACCTTCACTGGACCTCTAGGAAGAACGGTTTAAAACTGATGGAGCTATCCCGTACTATCAAAATTAGTTAAGGTTTCCTCCTGTAGCAACACTGGATCAATAAGGGATTACCCTTACTGGACCTCTAGGAAGAATGGTTTAGATCTGATGGAGCTATCCAGTATTAGCAAAATTAGTTTAGGTTTCCTCCTGCAGTATCACTGGATCAATAAGGAATTACCCTTACTGGACCTCTAGCAAGAACAGTTTAGAATTGAAAGAGCAATCAAGTTATCAAGTTCATAAAACCATAGTATTATTCTTTAAATCGAAGTCGGCAGACCGCGCAGACAAAAGCCATAGCAAGGAACTGAAACTGACGTCTAATAACTCCATCTTTGGCTTCACTTTCTGGACTCGAATTCTCACTCCAGATATACACGAAGTTCACTGCTACACACCTGTCGTACTTCGCCCACATGTTTTGACTTGGCTTTCAAAATTCTCTGACCTTCTGCGGAATCCAAACTGAATCCATCTGCCAATGAAAATGTCTTCCCAGAATTGGAAACTACAACAAAATCGATAGCGAAACACCTCAATAACAATATACGGGAATTTGTTGTACATATATAGTGACTGCGGTTGTCTGGGTTAAGTAAACAACGCTATATTCCAGTAAATTAATCTTCGGTTCTTTTTGAGTATTTCCCAATAAAGAAACTGTTTGGAAATTTTTTCTGAGATGTTACGTGAAAAGTGTAAGAGTGCGTCAAGCAATGATGCAAAACCAAAACCTGTGGTGTATATTGCTCGATTCGCGGAAGATTCATTGTTTAGCATTGTCTCGTCATTTGCATATGTATAATTAAAGCATTGTCTTGAATACTAGACGTTTTATAATCTGCATATAGCTTTACTTTTGCCTATATCTCCGATCCGAGTTGACGTCATCAATTTTTCATCTCGCTATCTATGCAGATCTTTGCCAAACATTGACTCCAGAATTAAAATCGTCATGCTCAAATTAATCTGCACCGAAAATGTCTTGACGTTTGGACACTCGGGACGCGAGTTACAGCGTTTTGAAAATTTTGTTTTCTATGCATTTGCTGGAATGTGTCAACTCATGTATACACAAAACTTTCAAAACGACGTACCTCGCCGCCCTGGATGTCCAAACGTCGTAAAATTTTCAGTATAAACTAATATGAGCATGGAGATTTCAATTCTGGAGTCCATATGTTGGCAAATATGAATATGAAAATTCGATCGGAGAATATACATGTATCATCTTAGAATACATTGATATCGAAGGAACTAGACTCAGTTCCGAAATACCACCAACTCAAACCGACTTGATCTCGTAGCTCAGTTGGTAGAGCACGGACTAGTATCCCAAAGGTCGCGGGCTCGATTCCCACCGTGGTCAGGCAAACTTTTCAGCTTGCTCAATGTGGATGTACACTCAGAGTAACACGACAAACATCAGAATATGCTTATGCAAATATAACATTATACGAGTGATGGTGAAACGGTAGTTGCTTTCACCTCTTTCATTTTCACATTCGATTTCGGAAATGCTTGCGTCGGACTTCACCACATATAGTTTTACGTATGTAGTTATATGCACTGGAATAATGTTGAATCTTACAGGATTTCTGGGGAGAACAGTTTGGAACCGATATAGAGCTCTCCAGTAGAAATAATGTTAGTTTAGTTTAGGTTTCCTCCTGTAGTAGCACTGGATCAATAAGGCGTGACCCTTACTGGACTTCTAGGAATAATAGTTTAATTTAAAACTGAGAGCTATCTAGTATAAATAAAGTTATAGTTTAGTTTAGTTTAGGTTTCCTCTTGTAGTAGCACTGGATCAATAAGGCATGACCCCTTACTGGACTTCTAGGAAAAACTGTTTAAACCTGATAGAGCTATCCAGTATAAATATTAAAGTTTGTTTAGTTTAGGTTTCCTCCTATAGTAACATTGGAACAATAATGCATGGAGCCATACTGGACTTCTAGGAATAGTTTAAAACTGATAGAGCTATCCAGTGAGTATAAATAAAGTTAGTCTAGTTTAGGTTTCCTCCTGCAGTAACACTGTATCAATAAGGCGTGACCCTTACTGGACTTCCAGGAAGAACAGTTTAAAACCGAATGAACTCTTCACAATAAATAAAGTTAGTTTAGCTCAGTAGGCCAAAATACATAGCCGTATTGTACCTATATATTCAAAAGTATGATGAATATCATGAACCCTATAGGGAAAAAGTTGATATAAAAGTCCGCCATAACATAAATGTCAATTAAAATATGAAAACATGTTAAAACTTTCTCGAACGATATTAAATTTCAAGGAACACGTCGCATTGAGAAACCCTAACCGTTGTTCTTTGTAAGGATTTTCCAAGAAAATACGAGATTAATTCTAAGACTAAAAATTACGGTGAAAACCTTTTCTTGGTCTATACAAATACGTATATGTATTATCAACCTATTTCAGTTTAAGTTGAGAAGTCGCAGTAAGGGTATAAACTTCTGGACGAAGGAGTTTAAAAACCCAGACAAAGGAACAGAACCTTCATCGGTTGTAAGCGGAACCCTGGGTGTGAAGAACTGAAATGTCAAGGGTCAGAATAGCGGTAAATTTGAAACTTGTGAGTGAAATGTCAGATCAAAATTTATCAAGTGTCTCGACGGTTTGGACATACGCCAACAGTTAGGTGGATGAAATGTGTGTTGTGTCGGTGTATTCGTGTACCTGGACTTTGGTTGAGTGTATCTTTTTGGGAATGACAGGGACGGGAGTCATTGTGTTGGCAATTCTTAACTGTAGCAGAAAATGTTTTGATAATTGATCATGACCTGGGATAATCTATGGTATATATGATCTTTGGTTCTCAGTGCTTGGTAAGGTAATTTCCTGGAAGTATTTAAGTCTAAGATTTACAAGAAAACAACTACAATGCTTATATTCGATTGTATACTTATTACTTACAACTAATCATGCATACATTTAAATGTACATAGAAATAGAAAATGTAATATCTATGTGGATACCCTACAGAAGTGAAAGGATGATTCATTAAATATTGATAAGTCTGCTAAGTACAAAATGTTTATATATATAGTATATGTTTTCTATGTGTAACTGACTGGAGTGCAGTAAATGTTTATGGATTTGGAAGAAATAAAAATTCAGCCATTACAGTTAGGGAAAATATTTTGGTTGACATTGGTTGACTTGGAATGGTCTGTGACATCTTCACTAAGGTAATTTCTTGGAACTAAGATTTACAAGAAAAACTTGAATCCAAGTCGTTTAGGAGATCATAAGTAATCATGTAGAAGCATAAATGTATTAGATATATCACCTAAAGTTCATATTATATATCAAATATATGAAGGTTGATTCATTGAGCATCTGGATCAAAGATCCAACTATTGAATCCAACTGCATGGTTACCATTGGTAAGCTCTGCAACTAACCAACAAATTGCTATACAGAAAGCTTTTGTGTTAGTATTATTGTCTGTAAGTTATCACAAGCATTTGTACCATATTTGACCTGTTCTCTATTTCTAGATATGACGTTAATTATGTATAAGTTTATCTGATTAAATATACCAAATCACTTGTTCCCCAAAAGCAATTTCTTTATTACAACTTTTTAATAAAGGTTATTCTCCAACTACAAAAAATATGAAAAGTATAAGAATTTGTTTGTAGAGGGATCAAGCTTATATACAATAAATTTGGTAAGGTCTGTAAAGTACACCCATATAATTGGCAAGTATTCATCTATACCTTCCTCTAATAATTTCTTCATTTCTAGATTTCTAATTACAAAAATATTTGTTTTAAATCCCCCACTTTTCCTAATCACTCTAGACATTGTCACATATGCACATTTTAGGTGGGGATAGAAGGCTCTCTAATGAAAAGAAAGATGAGGAACCAAGCTACCTCTCTAATCATTATGCAATCTTCCCTGTCCATCTAAGCTCATGAAACAAAATTATATTCATCATTCATAAAGGTTTATTGGTTTTATATTCGCTCTTTAGTCATTGAGAAACCTTCCTTCTCCCTCTATCATATCATCGCTGATCTATCCAGTGATTGAATGAACCTCCATGAGCTCAAAACACAAAATTATACTCATCATTCATAAAGGTTTATTGGTTTTACATTTGTTCTCTAATCATTAAGGAACTTTCCCTCCATCGTATCATCAATGATCTGTCCAGTGATCATGATTAAATGAACTTGAATGAGATCAAGAAACAAAATTATACCCATCATTCATAAAGGTTTATTGGTTTTACATTTCACGTTTTACAACAATAACAACAGCTGTGACAATTATATTCAGGGTGGGGGGTTTTACTGACACGACCTGATTTATTGATTCCCAAATCACAGCTACCGAATTCGAGTAACCTCATGCACGCTAATATAGAAATTCATCCTTTTATGTAAACCCATTCTTTTTACTTCGCATTTTTATAAACTCCGATATAGTCAATGCAAATTCACACCTCGTTTCAACATTTTACATTTTGAATATAAGATGGAAAGATCAAGCTCGATTATTTATTGATAATCACGAACGTTTTATTCAATCGAGAAATCAGATCAACGTCGTCAAAATCAAGTTATCGCAATGATAAAAACGTAATTCATTCTCTAAATAGTACATGCCCTAGCTCGCTTGATCGTTTCATTTTGCTCATTCATCTGACATACCAACAACGCAGCAGAAATTCTGACCCCATTGTGCAGAAATCAAGTTTAAATATAATTCATGCATTACGTTTTATCTTATGATTGTGGAACTTCATTGGAGAAACCAAATCATTGTCACCAAAATCCTATAGTAATAGTACAAGTTATATATCTCAGTTTTTAAAATTGTATATCATCGTCTATCTGTTTCTTCCATCTTGCTGTAGTCGTACTCGTTCCACGATTTGTATTCATGTGCAAAGAGAAATCAAGTTGATATACAGTATATAGTTTAAAGCTCGTAATCGTTTGATTCATTGAATTTCCAAAATTCGAAGAGGATATCATATACCAAATCATTCTTTCAGATTGTACGAGTTTTTCGATTATTTTTTAGATTGTATATCTTCGCGAAGTAGGCTTCACCTTGCTCATAAACTCGGAGAGGCAAGAAATGTATTCGATATTCAGCCCCCATTTCAACAGCAACGTTTCCCTCCCTATAAACGGCGGAACGAGAGCTCTAACTTGCTTATCCTTTAAAAACACTTTTATCAAATGCCGAAGTCTTTTTCGCAGGTGTTCCTTGTCAACTTTCTCGTTGGTTTTGGGAATTGGAAAACCCCAGGCTACGAGCTGCAAGTAAAGGCGAGTCAGTATGTTGACTAGCTCAGTACTCACGGCCAAGAGATGTTTCTTTTCAATACCCGAGCTTGAATTCTCCACCATAATGCTTGTGCCCAAAAACAGAGCATAGGCACCCGTGTAGGCAACTGTGAGAAAATCCTTGATATCTTTCGACGTCCCTCGAGGTTTTTTGAGCTTTTTAAAATGACCTCCTTCTCCGAGATTTAAAGGCACGGTGGATGGCTTGACACTGTGGCTTTCCAATTCGGCTACGTAGATTTGGCGTAGCAAACACGAGCTGTCTAAGGCGTAAAATGCACTGACATACAGGTTGTTTAGGACACTCGGTGCAATGGAATGATTTGCTGCCATCATACAAAAGTTTCCACAATTTTGTTTTTGTTGTCTCCAAAGTGAGATGCAAGTATGGACTTGAATTTTCAACTGCTGATTTAAATATATGACTATATATACTTCTAGGCATTTCGTGGGGGATTGGTGGCGAGTTTTACCTTTGCATTTGAAGGACAAGGTTATATACATATAGCTATTAAATTAAAGCCCCGTGCAAGCACGTTTTTCTTGACAATTTTACCTTCTCGTGTGTGTACGGTCAACAAGTTTTCCTTGACAAGTTTTGTTATAAGAGTGTTGTTAGTTCCTTTATCTCACTTTTTGTTGGACAAAATCATATAGAAGTATATCTTGTACACTTGTCAGCTTTTCCTTGGCGCGGCCGTACACACGAACAAATTTTCCTTGCCCAAAAGCTCTGGCATGACTATCGCTTTGGAATAAGGTTCTGCAGAGTGTGGCTTGGAAAAATAGTCAATTTTTTGCCGTACACACGAACCAATAAAACTTGTAAAGGAAAAGTTGATCTTTTTTAAGTATTTTACCAGAATTACCGTAATTTATTTCTACCGGATAGCTCTTCCAGTTCTTTTCAAAATCGGTGTTACTTAGAGCTGTCGGGACGGTCATTTCTTATTGGTCTTGCATACACGTGTTACTACAGGAGGAAAACTAAACTAAATTTTTATATACTGGATAGCTCTATCAGTTCTAAACTGTTTTCCCTATAAAAGGTCAGGTATACGGGTCATCTCTTATTGATCTAGTGTTACCACTGGAGGAAACCTAAACTAAACTTACTTTACTTCTACTGGACAGCTCTATCAGTTCTAAACTGTTCTTCCTAAAGGTCCTGTAAAGGTCATCTCTTATTGATCTAGTGTTACTACAGAAGGAAACCCAAACTAAACTAACATTATTTCTGTTGGATAGGTCTGTCAGTTCCAAACTGTTCTTCCTAAAGGTCCGGTAAAGGTCATCTCTTATTGATCTAGTTTTACTACAGGAGGAAACCTAAACTAAACTAACATTATTTATACTGCATTACTAGATAGCTCTATCCGTTCTAAACTGTTTTTCCTAAAGGTCCGTTATAAGGATATCTCTTATTGATCTAGTGTTACTACAGAAGGAAACCTAAACTAAACTAAACTAAACTAAAATTATTTATACTGCATTACTGGATAGCTCTATCAGTTCTAAACTGTTCTTCCTAAAAGTCCGGTAAAGGTAATCTCTTATTGATCTAGTGTTACTACAGAAGGAAACCTAAACTAAACTAACATTATTTATACTGCATTACTGGACAGCTCTATCAGTTCTAAACTGTTCTTCCTAAAACTCCGGTAAAGGTCATCTCTTATTGATCTAGTGTTACTACAGGAGGAAACCTAAACTAAACTAAACTAACATTTATACAGCATTACTGGATACCTCTATCAATTCTAAACTGTTCTTCCTAAAAGTCTGGTAAAGGTCATCTCTTATTGATCTGGTGTTACTATACATTACAGGAGGAAACGGAAACCTAAACTAAACTAAAATTATTTATACTGCATTACTGGATACCTCTATCAATTCTAAACTGTTCTTCCTAAAGGTCCGGTAATGGTATCCCATGATCTGGTGTTACTACATTACAGGAGTAAACCGAACTAAACTAACTTTATTTCTACTGCATGCTCTAATTCAGGACCACTTTTGCACATCTTGTGTGATGGATAACTCTATCAGTTCTAAACTGTTCTCTCTAGAGGTCCAGTAAAGATCATCTCTTATAATTGATCTAAAACCGCAATTAGTGTCCCAACAACTTTTGAAAATGAGATATACCAAATAAAATTTGAAGATATTCAAAATGCCTGTCAGTCAGTTTCTTGAAATAGTGACCAAAGGGTAATTTTAGGATCATAAAGATCATTGGTTATAACTGGATAAATATTTAAAAAACTAATATTATTATTAAAGTTGGAAAAAGTTGTCCTGCACATGATTTTAAAAGTTATTTCGATACAGGAAACGTATTTTTTATTGCCATAAATTCCTTTAAATATAAAATTTCTTCAAGTCCGTCTGAAATAATCCTATTGTCTTGGCAAGAGTCAAGTGGAATTTCCTGTCTCAATGTAATTTTAGATTAATATGGTTCTGGACAAGAACGAATTTTGCTTGCACGGCAATTTATCCGTCTCTAAATATTTTACATTCTCAAAATGCTGTCAGTCAATTTCTTGAAATAGTGACCAAAGGATAATTTTAGGATCAAAAAGACCTTTTGCTAACTAGGTAGATACTTAAAAACTAAGCAAGATTTGAAAAAGCTGTAAAAACCCACATAATTTTGAAAGTTATTTCCATAGGGGAAAGTAACTTTGAAAATTTGATACTTTTGACACTTGGTTTTCAATATTATTCGCATTTTACAACATTTCGCAACGAATCTTCGGAATATTACTAATTTTGTGATGCTCTTTCAAGCTGTGATGAAATTTTTGTCCAGACTTGTCTAGACCAAAATTTCACTCAAAAGGGGAAATGTCTATTAGCCTTTCTCACGATGACGAATATCCGCCATTTTTGGGTGGCATCTAATTCTCGTTATCCAATGCAGACAATTAAAACAATGTGAAAAGCAATTTTTCAAAATAAACTAACCATTTACAAATCAAATTTACCATCATTCGTCCAAAAAATTATAAAAAGTCGCTGTTATGTGGACTTATCTCGCAGACTTCGGCTGAAATGCCACCCAAAAATGGCGGCGTGAGAAAGTATATTGAGTCAAGCGGAATGTAATTATAGATCAATATAGGTATAGGAGACAACAAAGAATTTTGCTTACACAAGCAATTTGTTCAAGCAACGAACGATGATGCAACACATTTTGCCAACACAGCAATTATTCAGGGGATTCCCCTTTGATTTGTGTAAAAAATAAATGGTGTCGAATTACTGAGATCATAATTTTCATAACATATTTCTTATCTTGATCATTATAAAATGGCCTATATTTCTTGTTATTCGCCATTGCTACATTATCATTTCGGATGTATGCCAGAGTGTATATATTTTTGTTATAATAATAACAATATGTATAGGTTATCATATGAGGGGCGAGGCGATATCAGTTTTATCGCTTGAGGGACGACATCATAAATGTGACGAGTGATTGCAGCGAGCGAGGGACAGTTATGCATGATATCGTCCTGAAGGCGATAAAACTGATATCGCCTCGTCCTATTATGAAACCTGTTTTTTATATACTTGTGCCTTTATAGTGCATATGACATGAAATTTTTTATTTTCTTAAATGGAAGTACTCTTTAAGCTGTAGTGTAACTTATTTTTCAGTTTCTTGTTTTTATAGTTTGTTCCCGAGATATTTCAATTTGTTTGATATGTAAATGAGTGTGAATATGTCTGCTAATTTATGACGTCATGTTGGTCGCCAGCTCTTCAAAATGGTTGAATATCACTGCTATTATCCAAGATGATAATTTCAAACTTCACTCACTGATGTGATGAAACACAGAGAAAAACGTGAACAGATATCTACAGTTTTTAGAGTTAATAGATTTATAACCAGTGTAAGTTGAGTTTGCAACCAACATGACGTCATAAATTAGCGGACATATTCACACTCATTTACATATCAAACAAAATGAAATATCATGGGAACAAACCATAAAAACAAGAAACTAAAAAATAAGTTACACTTAAAGAGTACTTTCATTTAAGAAAATAAAAAAATTCATGTCATATGCACTTTATCAGGATCAGAATTTAACACAATGTCAATTATTATATACCAACACTCAAAGTCGCATTATTCTAGTGTTTTACTGGTCGAGAGCATGTCACGTGAGAGTGACGAAATTAGGCTGCCTCCCTCGCAACAGCGCGATGTTATCGACAGGCGAATAACGAAAAAAAATCACGTGCGCCATCACGTGAAGATGCAACCTTAGGACATGCCTAACAATTTAAAAAATATCATTTATGTCACCTTTGTTATGGCTCTGATATAAAGTGTACAAGCATGTGATAAAAGCATTTATTTAAACATGATAATGATATTACGATAGCAATTATAACCGCATTATTTTATAAATCCTGAAATTAATTATTAATACAGTGTTTAAGTGATAACTGCTTAAACGAACTCGCAAATTAAGGTGGTATTAAATGAAGGTGGTATTATCTAACATTGTAACATAATATCATGAATCATGATCATGAATTTGATTCAAAATTTCCCCCCCCCCAAAAATGCTAAATAGGCATTTTTTGTCTTCAATTACCAAACGCGCACATCTGATTATATTCTATACAATTTGAAAAGAATTTGTACATTATGGTGTGCAGTATCGTATTATCTTTTCTTTTGTTCCGTTTTGGTACTGGATTTTCAAATCAACAGCAGTTGAATTTTTTTCGTAGAAATACAATGACGTAACTCTTTCCAAAAAAAAACTTGGCAGGTGTTCCCAGATTTTGAAGAGTATAAATATAGAAGCGATAGTAAGAAGGCTGTAATAATACAGCGTATGCTCGCTGCTTATGCAAACAAGCTGTTTAGTTTTTGGGAATAACGCGCAATGGACGAAGAGTGTACATTGACGAGTGCCACTTTAACACGAATGAAGCATATTTATAGTTTGGCAGAGGACTTCACAGCTAATTGTCGAGATAAATCGGAAGTGGTGATGAAAAGCTTCGATATTTCTGGCTCCGAATTGGCATTAAATCTGGGACATACCGCCATATTCAAGGGCCTGCTCTGTTCGGCTTCACGAAGAGAATTATACGGCGTTTGCTACACCGCATTTTATAAGTTCTATCAAGACCTGGCCGTCTTAGACAAGGGGACGCTTTTCCTTCGTGATGAATGCCGGGGACTTGCGCATACATTTCGTCAACAGCATGTGAAGTATGGGTACTCCCTACCAGAACTGAGCGAAGTGGATATGGAAGGTAAATTGAATGGCTTGATGCGTATTTTTGTCGCTGAAGATCCCATGTTTATCGACATGTTCCACGGGCATCCTCCCAAAGCGTTGGTCAAAGCAGCGCGAGATTATGAGCTGAGTTATGAATTGTACCTGAGTCTGGACGATCTGGGAGAATTCCTTTGGAATAACATTGAATAGACAATTCACTTGTCAATTGAACAATAAATATAGACGAAGTCTCATGGCTCATTACAAGCAACAATGAATACAGACGAAAGGCAGAGACGAAACTTTCATAGCAGGAACTATCGACAGAACAACCGGAACCAGCTGTGGGTTAAAAGAGTGAGCCTGATATTTAGGCAACTAAACACCCAAAATACTGCTGACAAATGAGACACTGCACGTTCTAAGGGTATAGGCATAGGCAGGTTTTGGCAGATACATACTTAATTTAATACCAGTGCATTTCCGTCGGAGGCAAATTGTTATTAGGTGGGCTCAACTAAGGGGGTTTGGGGGAATGTTCCCCCCAAAAAATGTTGCATGTGCGAAGGCTCGGAAGAGCGTTTTCCGTGTTTCCTAAGAGGAATTTTCTGTGTTTCCTGGGAGGAATTTTCTGTGTTTCCTGAGAGGAATTTTCTGTGTTTCCTGAAAGGAATTTTCTGTGTTTCCCGAGAGGAATTTTCTGTGTTTCCTGGGAGGAATTTCTTGCACTTAAAAATTCAAGATTTTGTAATGCACTTTATAACTTAGTTCATAAATTTCATTAACTTAGTTCATAAATTTAATTAACTTAGTTCATAAATTTAATTAACTTAGTTCATAAATTGGGTATAATTTCACGTAAAACTGTTGTTATATATTTTATATAATGATCTTTAGACGAAAGGCATTTGCTTTAAATCGACAGAAACTGTTTCAGTATAACCAAAGGAGAATCTGTCCCTAAATATTTTTATTATCCATAATATTTTGTAAATGTAACAAATGTGTGTATCTAATTGTACACCATAGTATTATGCTATTAAATTATTTTGTAGAAGAAGAATTGAGTATATAATATATTTCATACAATCCAATATTAAATCAGTACATATGATTTTTATGATTATGCTGAATATATTTTTATTGTTAACTGAGTCTAATAGGGTCAAGTGCGTTCCAGTACAAATTGCACTATCTATTTTACAATGGAAAATAAGTCACATTTGTATTAATGTATGACCAAAGAAACTCACACACAAACGACTGATCATGAAAGTCTGATTGAAAACTGTTGAATAATTTTCAAGATTGCTTTTTAATTTAAAAGACATGCAATTTTAGGGACCGGTATTATTTATGGCAGAATCAGAATCAGTTTTAGCAGCAGCAGCAGCAGGGCTGGCACCCAAGAGAAAAGGGTTGGGTATACAAAATTTTGAGCGAGTAAAAGTTTGGGTGAATGAAAAACAAAACAACTCAAGGGTTGGGTAATAAAAAGTTTTTGTCATTTCTATGACTCACTCAAATATGGGAGACAAAAAAACAATGTCAACAATCATATGTCAATACAATATGTAAATCAGAGTCATTGTCTTGATCATTTTCCGATTCGTCACGAGGCAAATGGTGTCTCCATAGAAAGTACATGTGCAGACAACATGAAACTTTAGACTGCAAAAAATTGCACAAGCAGTTATCAAACGCATGTCACAGAAGTGGTCAAGGACATGTGTGACAACTGAATGGTATCCTTTTGTAAAGTTTCTGCAGGCATGGGTCGGTATGTATTTTTTATTGATATTTGAGTTTGGGTAAATTTTTTTGGACTTTTTAATCGGGCTGGATCTTCAGTGCCATGCACCTCCCCCCCCCCAAAAATAATGACCGGACCTCAATAATTTACATAAATTTCCAAAACGTTATGGAAATTGACAATGTCAAGCGTAATGTACTATTTATTTCCAAATAGTTGACCTTTCAGTAACCTCTTCATAGAGACCAAAACTGCCACCATCGCCCAATTTACCCAAACGCTCTTCATTGATCGTCCCAAATACGTCACGTAAGCTGGTTATGGCGTACTCAATCTCGCTGACAATTTCGTAGTTAATAACCAACTGCTTATGCTGACGTAACAACTCCGACCCAGACCCCTCGCCGTGGGTACTCGCATAGCGAGACTCTGGCACACTCTTTATGTACTGGTCGGCAAGGCCGGGCAATCTTGCTTGAAATTGATTAAATTTCTCTCTTGTTGTCGCTAAATCTGGAACAGACCACCCGTTTACTTCCAAAGCATTTTCAAACACGTTACAAACGTTTTGCAAATGCTCGTTTTGGCGTTTCAGTAACTTTTTGATCTCCACATTTTCTGTGTATTCGTACAGGTAGTGTACGAATAGGGAAGCTAGATAGTACAACGGCAAACTCTTTTCAAGGGTGTTATGAATCGAACTTTCACTTTCGCTTTCGCTAAAACGGAGAAGCGAAATCTCCCCGCCTTTCAGTAAGCTCATGCAGGCAAGATTAAAATCGCAAAAACTTCTTGCCGGGACATTCACCAATGATAAATCTTTAGCCAAATTTTGTTTGATTTCGTAGATATCGGTTAACGGTTGAATGTTGGACCAAATCTCTCCGAGCCTGTATCGGTCCGGTGTTCCAGTATCGTCGCCAAAGTCATCAGCATCGATGATGATAATTTTCACTACGCTTTCTATCAAATTTTCAGCCAAGTTACACTTTCCACCAATTTTCTTATCGCTGTGAAAATCGACCAAAGTCTCGTGAATTTCTTCTCTGACAGTGAGTTTAACATTATCTGTGACATCGTGGTCTATTTGGGGCTCTTCCATGATGTTAACTAGTGTGTGATGACCTCTCAACCCATCAAAGGTTATTTCTGCCATTATATAGGCTTCTTTTCTCGTTTGCATAATGAAAGACTGAAGTACTTAAAGATTCCAACCCATTGACTTCTGTTTTCATTTTCATTTCATACCGCAAATCCGATTTAGACCATTTTAAATTCAATGACTAATATAAGAGTGGAATTTGAAAACCGAATCCAAACATTTAGGGAAAGAAAAAGATTCCTGCAACTATATATGGAATATACAAAAATGTGTAGTAATCAGCTTCTACACTGGAAAAAACGTTCGACAAAGTTCTGAACTTAAACAAATTCTGTCAAGGAAAATTCCCCACGCCCCATTGTGCCCCAACAATCCACACAGAGTACCCGGACATTTTGCCGAAAGACATTTTGTCGAACGGACACTTTGCCGACGGACGTTTTGCCGAACGGACGTTTTGCCGAACGGACATTTTGCCGAACGGACATTTTGCCGATCGGACATTTTGCCGAAAGGACAACTTGCCGAAAGTAGAGATGTTATTTCGTCAAAATGTTTGGGACTGTGACTCGTTTCTCAACAGTGTAATTATTAACCATTGAGTACGACGTAAGCGAATTTCACTTCGAGAATCATGGAATACATTCACAGTTCTCGAGGAAATCGCATTCATAAATAGTATGAATGATGTTGAATGATGTTATTCTTTTATATATCGCGAAATTTCGGTAGGCCTAAACTTGAAAGAATATAAAACGAAACTATACTTCACTATGAAAGTTCCAGTCATCAAAATCGACAATAACTTTAATTTAATTAATCACAGAAACTTTGACCGTATAATGAAGCGAATCTTTAATGTTCAGAAGATATCTCTATTTTCGGCAAGTTGTCCGTTCGTCAAACCGTCCGTTCGGCAAAACGTCCGTTCGGCAAAACGTCCGTTCGGCAAAACGTCCGTTCGGCAAAACGTCCGTTCGGCAACACGTCCGTCGGCAAAATGTCCGTTCGGCAAAATGTCTTTCGGCAAAATGTCTTTCGGCAAAGTGTCTTTCGGCAAAATGTCCGGCCACCTCCACACAGAAACATACAACAATATTTGAAAAAGATTATAAGGAAACGTGGAATTTTATAAAATAGAAAGATTATGATAAGAAAGCTTATTGATAGAGATGTAACTATACCTTCTCTATACTGAAATTCTTCTTGCATTTTTTCAAGTTGTTCCACCATATCCTTATCAATCCGTGCATGAGCTTTAATTTTTTTTTAATATTGGCCCTACCTATCTAGTTCAAGTTCGACTTATGCAAACAGATTTAGGCTACTTCCACCGCTCTCCTATTGGCATGAATATTTGGACATGATACTACTATTCAAACTTACTAACATGATTTACATACAGAGAGCACTTGTACCGACAGTCAAAGAACCAGGAAGGTCAACAAGATCTAGTAGCCGAGCTGATGGCGCCATTATGTTAGAGGAACAGCTGTGTCGAACTTCAACATACGCTAGATTTCGATCAAAAAGGGTGTGGAATGTTCTGCCAAAGGACATAAGCAGGAACACAACGTCTCTGTCTTCCTATAAACACTTTTTGAAGGAATATTACCAGAGTGTTTTAACATCAACTTTGCAAACTTATGATTCTGAAGATGCACGGACATGGAAGTCAGTTTGTGTTAAGTGCGGCTCTGCCCGTATAGTCTTCTATCTCTTCCTATGTGCTGTTTTTAATGTCTGTAAGTCTTAATGTTGTTAATGTCTGTATATGTTTGTATGTTTTGTTGGTAACTGTAATCGTTAATATTGTTGGTTGATATTAAACTTGATGTATTATAATGGGATCCGCCGTAAATGGCCGTAGCTGTTGCGGTTTCCAAGCCTGTTGAGGCAAAGTGTAATATAATGAAATAAATAAAAAGAGTATAATAAAAATGCTTTTCCCGGAAGATGGAGCAAAGATCAATTCCTGGTACTAAAGCGGATCTACAGTTCACTAATCAGCACGATAGCTCAAAGACAAAGAGATCTCAAATATTTGGTTATACAAATCTGCATGCGAAGAAAATTCCTGGTAAAGACAGTCGAATTCGAGGAATAAACGAAGCCAAATATTTCCGTGTTTTGCTTTTAATGTATATACAAGACTACAACTCTTCATCTACTCAGGATGATTATTACCTGTTCAAAGTGAAATGGAATTCTGTCACCGTATGAATTCAAGGAAACTTGGAATATATATTTGAGAATGTTCGCGTGATATAGAAGGTGATGAAATTAGACTATATATATAATACAGTATATATACTTTGAGGCACTTTGTATAGTGTTGCGTTAAAAAGTTCTCAAAGCAATGGTAATTGAGCTACGAGGTATAAGAAACGTTGTAACTATGTTGCTACATTTCAACGACAACGTCAACAATTCCGGCTCGAGTTGAGACCATGATGTTGTCATTGTGACATGATAGCTTAATGTTAATCCTAGTTGCATGTGTTATAACGTATGAGCTGGTTTCAACTGCTAACGTAGTCAGTTTATACAACTGACTGATTTAGTGACGAAGTAATCTATGTAACTATGTAGCTATGAGTCTGGCAATGTTGGACAATGATCAGATCAGGCTTCTATGATAGCATTTTATTATGAAACTATATATACCAAAATCGTAAATTAAGATTATGGATTTATGAAGTTTAAATAGTAAAAAACCTAATTGATACTAATGTTTTATAAATAAGCGAGTGTCAATATCATATTATACTTTAAATTAGATTACATTATATGGATTAATGAAGATAATATAAATACAGTTTTAGTGTTACACAGATAAATATATACAAGTATACAAACTTTATATGACAAATAACTACATCTCGTACTTTATGTTCATAAACTACAGTGTCAGTAAATACAATATATACACCAATGAATTCAATGTGTGAATGCAATGTCTAATGAACTAACCAGTCTTCTTTGTGTATTCTTGCATCAGTCATCACTTTTCAAATAAATCCGGACAAATCAACTCTCTGTTCCATTTCAACTGTGATCTCAGCAAACAGCGATACATTGTGGTCGTTAACAGGCCTTTCGATCCCTTGTTTCAACACCTCAATTTTATCTTGTAAATCTTCTAAACTTTCAGTAATCTCGCTGATAATCTGAAAATCTTTGATGAAATTGCCATATGACTTGAGCACTTCGTAATCTGGCTTACTTCTCAAGTAAATATCGGTGAGGCTAGCCAAACCATCCAATGTATTCTTTCTATAATGGCTTGCTTCTAATTCAAGATTCGGTATCTGGCTCTCTTGTTCTTTCAAAGTATGTCGAATAACGCTTAGAGCATTTGAAATTTGTGGTAGCAACCGTTTGCTTGTATTAGAAAGCCTGTTATCGCTCTTTAGACAAAGCAAGGCTTGGAGGAGGCCTACATATGCTTCGCGTAAAAACTCGTCAATGGGCAAACCAACGCTAACGTTGTTCAATTTCTTCATCGTCCCGAGTCTGAAATCAGCAAATTCTCGTTCATCTAAGCCGTCATTCTTCAATTTCTGAACAAATAGTTCCTTAATCCCTTTGATCAAGTCAAAATCTCTAAAATTCATTGAGATTTCATCGAGCTGATCAGCAGTGTTATTTTCTTGATAAAAATACGATTCTTCCATGTTGTCTTTTTGAAAATGAAGTGAGCGTCTTCGCGGGCGCCCTTTTATAATACTTTTTTGCTGCTTTAAATTTGGCGCTCAATCAAAGGGTCATCCCCCTTCGATTCTGAGGGAAACTCCCTATTGAAAATTCAAGACAACTATAAAAGTAAATTTCATAATTCCATATCTCGGTTTTAATCTATAACAACTATAAACTATATCTTGGATTTTCAAATGCATTTTTTAGGAATTTGTTCTTATATCTTACACTTTTTCAAATTGTAGACTGGATATATTTAACTCTAAGTTTACCAACAAATATTTTATGATGGCGTCATTTCTAATTTTGTCTGGTATGGATTGAACCGGTTTTTACCGGTTATGTATGTATAGACCCATTGCACGTGACGTCACAACGTCGATGACGATGCATCTGGAGGAAAAATAGCAACTATGCATAATATAACTTTTGTAAACAAAGCAAATTTTGTAAAAGTTTATAATAATTTTGTACTAAAATGGTTAATTTTTGCGCTGTATGTGGTTGTTATATTGTTAGGGACCATCTGGAGGACACTCTAAGGATTTGTGACGCCAGTGCAATGGGTCTATTGCTGTATTGCTGTATATGTATTGCTGCCATGGCTGCGTGACCTTTTCGTGGGCCGCGCGTGGAGTTTCTAGGGTGGATAAAATTAGAAATGACATCATCATGCATGAAATATTTGTTGGTATGTAAAACTTGGAGTTATACAAAAATTCCTTTCCAACAGACAATTTGAGAATACGACCACCTTGTTAACATACGACCAACGACCACCTTTTGATGTCCCCAACTCTTTAATTTGGCCGTTTATGTGTTGAAGACAAACGTAATTTATATATCACAGTCAAACAATTGAACAGTGAATTGGATTACATGCGGCTAAAAGAAAGTGTAAATTTGACAAAGCGTTTTTCACTGTTGATTTAGTATTAGTCTGTCATTTAAGGTGTCTATTTCAGTTGTGTTCAGTAAAAAAAATACGTTATTAGTGTTTCAATGATTTAATTAAAAATTGAGCTATGGTGCAGACAAAGTTGTGCAATGGTATTTCGAGGGCCCCCTATACTTTTTGCGTGAAGCGTGATGGGCTTATTTTACTTAGCCGTGAAACGTGATCGATGATTTTCTTATTCCGTGATACGTGATGGTATGACCTCCAATTTTTTTAGGTGCACGTGAAGGAAAGATTCGATTTAACCGTGACCCGTGAATGGCAGATAGAAATATGCGTGATTCGTGAATCATTTGTTTTGTGACATTTTGTGTGATCAGCTTTCCAAGCCGAATAATACGGTTTGTTGCTGTTTTTTGAAGTACTTGATGTACAGAAGCCTGTTTTCGACATGGTTGGAGGTTTGAGGAAAGCATGTCGAGGTATAGGCCTAAGTACAGACGACTAGTACAATGATTCTACAATTAAGGAAGACATCCATATAATAGTTCGTGAATTTTGTTTTATTTTTACGTGAATCGTGATCGCTTTGATTTTTCCGTGAGCGTGAAGGAATTTTTCAATTTTTCGTGACTCGTGAAAAGGCAAAATATTTTTACGTGAACGCTTTGCCAACTAGGACAGAGTCACCACAACAGCATATGCCAATTACTGTGGGCCCTTTTTACCTAACCCACCCTGTCAACTTTCCCTGTGGGAGGAAATCGGAGTACCCGGGGAAAACCCATGACATTCGGCAGAGCGTTGACCTTTACTCTTTTTACACGAGGACTGGCTTCAAGTCGCATTGAGAAGGTTCTCACTGAGGCTTGAACTTATAACTATATTCTTGTTAAATATTGTCATGCAACTGTCCAACACACAGAGGTTTACGCATCGTACGTAATTTTGGCAAAATTCTGTTGTGAATTTTTGGTACTCTCAAAACCGCTTACTATAAGCGATAATTAAAATCTAACTAGTACTTCATCTTGTCGAATCATGCAATTTTTGTTTTAATTAAACGAATTCATTTTTGTGAAAGCCTGGCGGTCGGGAAAGAATGGACATTTGTATTTTCATGTATGTGAATATAAAGGCGATGTTACACAACAGGCTAAACGGAACGATTTTCAAGGACAGATTCGCAATGCAAATGAAGTTACAGAGAAATTTGATTGCTTTGGCAATCCATCGTTGTGTTGCGAATCGTCGTTGAAAAGTGTTCCGTGCAACTTCGCTTTAAAACAGCCAAACACCTTGCTTCTTCTATTTCTTTTAATTCCATTGCGTTTTACTAGGAATTTTGTTTGTTTGATTTGAATGACTATATAAAAGCAATCAAATATTTGAATTTCTTGCCGATCTCTATAGACCATGCATGTATTTCCGTTTTATTACGAGGAATTAATATAGCTATAGCTTTGCCCCATCTTCGAATTCCACGAAAAGGAATCAAGCGACTGATAGATACCATCATATTGTTCTAAAGCATGTCATGTTGCAATTGTCCATTTGTATCAATAAAAAGCAGCCGAATCTTTGGGGCTTGGTAATCTGTAGACCACGGTTTTCAGACGAATAGCAATATTTCAGTAAAAAGGACAATAGACACTTGATAAGTATATTATGTGTTTGTCAAATAGTATTTTATTAACATATACCTTCGTAGGCTTAATGTTTATGAATGATTTTTGTGATAGAATATCTTACAAGACAGAATATATTACAGTGTTTCAAAGAATTAAAGAATTTGATATATACATAGGCCTACATATAGAAAAGATTATATTAACAAAGATTAGCTATATGTTATCAGGACTTTTGTTTAGATCTGTCTATAATGTTAGAATTATTAAATATAAATTCTGGCAGTATACAAGTACGAGTCGAATATAGTTTCATCTTGAGAGAATATAGTTCTGAAATAGATTTAATGTGTTGAAAACGTTCGCATGATGTGGTTAAATATTTAATTAAAGATTTCTTGTTAAATTTTTCAGGCAGTGTAATCCTGGAATTTCTCACGTTTTATAGCTACCT